ATATACTCAACATTATTTGAACCATTTGTCTGAAAGAGATGACTGCTTTTCAAGCTTAAAAACTACCTTCCGCTGGGCGTGGTGGCTCATGCCTTTAATCCCAGCACTAGGGAGGCAGAGGCAGGTGGATCTCTATGAGTTCAAGGCCAGCCTGGTCCACATAGTGAGTTCCAGGACAAGCTGGGGCTACAGGAAGACCCTGTCTCAAAAAGGATCTCTGTGAGTTCAAGGCCAGCCTGGTCTACAAAGTGAGTTCCAGTACAGCTGGGGCTACAGGGAGACCCTGTCTCAAAAAGATTAAAAAAAAAAAAAAAAAACAAAACCCAAAAAACAAAAACTACTTTCCAACTGAACATGACTATTAAAAACAAAACCAAAAAGTTTTAGAAGTCCCTTTCTTTTTATTTCTAACAATGTGCCCTGCAGTTGGCTGGCTCTGTCATTTTTATAATATCCAACTACATAACGTCATATGCAATGAGAGAACACATTTAGGGTTGAAAATGCTTTCCAACTGAAGTAAGTCTTATTTATAGTGTCAAATAGAAATAGCTTCAAAAGAGCAGTAACTGTTCCGCCCCATAGCAAGAGCCCAGGAAATAACATACTTCTTCCTCCTTTTTCTTTCAATACTTTAAATACAGCAAAGCTGTCCAGTGTGCTGGTACTCACCCTTAATCCCAGCACTCGGGAGGCAGAGGCAGGGGATCTCTGTTGACTTCAAAGTCAGCTGGGGCTACACGGAGACCCTGTCTCAAACCCTTCTCCCCCCAAAACAGCAAAGCTTTTAAGGCATGTAGCTCAGTGAGGCCTCAAATTCTCTATGTAGTATATAACCTTGAATTTATGATCCTCTGAGTGCTGGGATTACAAGAGGGCACCACTACCACTCCAGGTTTATGCAGTGTTAAGAACTGAACCCAGGGTTTCAGGTATGTTAAGCAAGCACTATACCAACTAAACTGCATCCCCTAGCCACACTATACATTTCTTACTAGAAAAACAACTTTTTGGTATTCTGTAACTTATGTGGGTTCTGCTCTAAACAGACTGCAATACAATTTTGACAAGGCTAGACCTCTCATTAAGTTGTTTTTTTTTTTTTTTAAATCTAAATGTTCTACCATCATCTCAGAACTATGCTTTCTCGAGTCAAATTACCCACTTCATTAAACCCAATTTATTAAGTTTGGTTCAGAATTCAATTGTGTTCCATCTTCCATCTCATTGCCTACCTGTCTCATATTCAGAGGGGTTATCAATCAATTCTATTTTTTTTGGGGGGGGGGCGGGTCTTTTTGAGACAAGGTCTCCCTGTAGCTGCAGCTGGCCTAGATTCGCTAATGGAGACCAGGCTGGCCTCAAACTCAGAGATCCACCTGCCTCTGGATCCCGAGTGCTGGGATTAAAGGTGTGCACCACCATGCCTAGTTCTAATCAATTCTATTCTTAAATTACTGGCTAAGCAATATCAAGATTAAAAAAAAAAAAAAAAAAAAAAAAAAAAAAAAAAAAACTAAACAAGTGGCTAACGTACTCACAGTGGCCCAGCACAACAAAAACAAGAGGTTTATACTTTTCAATAAAAAAAAACATATTTACTGACAGAACTGACTCCAAGTTGTTTTTTCGATAACACATGCAACATGTATGTGCATACAGACACTAATAAATTTCTTTAAAAAGCATACACCTTAGGACTGAGGAGTACAGCTAAGTAGTGCCACACCTCCCTATTATGTAGAAGGACCTAGGTTCAATAGCTAGAACTGGAGAAAAAAAGATGATGATAATCATCATCCAGTTGAGTAGGCAGAGTATTATAAAGGAATTTAGCCAAGTTCATTAAACTTCTACTTCTGCATCTTTCCTAAGTTACACAAATACTACCTACATTGTGTTGTCCCTCTTCTAGTACTCAATGCCTATGCAACAGACACATCCTGTATATCATTTCAGCAGTGAGGAAGGAGTCCAGTCCTACACATGAAGTGAACAACTAACTCCTACCCCTACCTCTGCACTGTATCAGGATAGTAAGAAGAGGCACAAATAAAGCCAGAAAGGTATGCTTCCTATTTCTTAGCTTTTAACTGAGAAAAAACAATCTTTCCTCCACGAATACTAACAAATCTAGAGCTTCACCTAAGACTATTTCTGCCACTGCCAGACAGCTACTACTGAAATGTTAAAAGGGGTAAGATACTTTCTACTGAAAAAGTTAACTACTGGTACAAATAATTAAAACAAAGACCCCAGTTTTCCTTTCATTTCCAAGAACATTACAGATGACATTAAACTGTTATTTTAAAAGGCTAAGCACTAGATGTTGACATAAAGTGAAGAATACTTTGTATATGCTTTGCTTTTGAAAGAAAATTTTTTTTTCCTTTTTGGTCTTTTTGAGTCAGGGTCTCCTGAAGCCCCAGCTGGCCTGGAACTCAATATGCAGACCAGGCTGGCCTTGAACTCACAGAGATCCACCTGCCTCTGCCTCTCAAGTGCTGGGATCAAAGGCGTGCACCACCACAGCTGACTGAAAATTTTGTTTTTGGATGAGACTTTCACTACATTCCTCAAGTTGGTCTTAAACTCCGGACTCAAGTGATTTTCCTGCCTCAATGACCCCGAGTGCTGTAACTACAGATGCTTGCCATCCCACCCAACTTGAGGACTTTTTCAAAAATTCACATAAGGAGCTAGAGAGATAGCTCAGCCATCAAGAGCACTGGCTGTTCTTGCAGAGGACCAGGGTCCAAATCCCAGCACCCACATGAAGCTAACAACCATCCGTAACTCCAGTTCCAGGGGATCTGACCCCTCTTCTGACCTCTGCAAGCACTGCACAACATGGGTGCACTTACATACATACAGGCAAAACACTCATAATGCATACATTTAAAACTTAATAAAATATTCTACAAATTTACACATTGAATTAAGTACTATGATTGTTTAACTTCATGAGAACTAAGCCTTGCTTTTATATACTCAAAAAAGATTAAGCACAGACTTCAATTCTGAACTGGTAACCTCTGAACAGGCAAAAACTTGCTTGACAACTGTCATCTTTTGGTAAAACCACAGAATTGGTAGTAAACAGACACTATAAAACAAACCTCAGATACTAAATGTATTTTCCACTCACCAAAAAAATAAAATAAAATAATAGTAAAACATGAGTGAGAATGTTTATTGAATGCCTACCAAACAGGTGGCCCTGTTTAATATTCACTTAAAATACAAAGTAACTCTCTAGTGCAGGTCTCATTATGATCATTTACATAAGGGGAAAATGTAACCTGTTTATGGTCACAAATCTAGAAAATGCCAAGGTAACATATAATCAGTCTGATTCTAAAACCCAAGAGTCAAACTATTCTTATAGATATTATATGGTGGGACTCAATGAAATAAACCAACATTTCAATACTGGATGGAACATGATGGACAAAAATCAGCTTTCAACCTCCAAGATGAACTTCAATTTAATGTAGACCAGGCTGGCCTCATACTCACAGAGATCCACCTGCCTCTGCCTCCCAAGTGCTAAGATTAAAGGCATGGGCCACCACATCCAGCCCAAAGGGGACTTTATAGTACCTTTCTCCAAAATTATCTCCAAGTGATCAGAATTACATAAACAGGATCAACACCATTTAGAGTCCATAATCCTAGGTAGGATATACTACATGGAGTCATTATACTCTACTTCATTCACACTTCTGGGACTGTTTCCTAATTCCACCAATACCCCAACCCCCATTTTTTAACTTATCCCCAACTTCCATGTCTTAACTAGGAAAAGTGCAAAAATCAAATCTGATCTTAAAGCTGAGATCTGCTACAATGTAGTAATGTAAGGTTGGTAACAATACATTCCCCTGTACACAACAGGTAAACAAGTATCTAAGTATCCAGTCAATAATACTAGTGCTCACTTATTAATTGCAATGCATGCAAAGCTCATCATTCCTCACACTCAGGCTTGTCTGATAAACTGGACATCTACCTCAAGAGACTTCAGGGAAAAAAGGGGAAAAAAACACAGTACTGTTAAGTTCATAGTGATTATCTAGTCATCTTCCGTTTCATACAAAACTTATCTGTACAAATATGACAAGATTTTGAAAACTTCGTTAAAGAGTCCTAAGATTATGAAATTGAGACTTCTGTACCTATTTTTTAAAAGTGAACACAGAAGAATGACGTCTAAAGCTGTATGATGAGCCCCTGGGAATTTTCAAAAAAAACGATGAAGGAGGGTAGAATCAAATTTACAAGACAGGAAAACAAACCACTGACCCTGGTCTACTACAACCACCAGATATTTGGTATTTTTTCTAGGCCTGTCCTTGTGGAGATGAGAAACTGTTAATTCTTTTTTTTAAGGTCTGTATGGACCACCTTGGTTTATGTCCACTAAACCGCTGATCATTTCAGTGCTCAGATCATCCTTTTACCACGGGGCGGGGGAAGGGAGAGCTAAAAGTTGTTCTACTGTTCTACTTGTTTAATTTAGAAAAGAAGGTTGAAATTAAACCGGACTTTCCAGCAGCCAGACGCTGGAACCAACCATGGGCCTTCAGGGTCGTGCCTAAGTTTACCGCCACCGGGTAGCCCTGCGCTAGGAAAGGCAGGAGAGCTCTGGGGGCTTTCCATATGGCTAAGCCGCGGAACTCACTTTCCAGCCTGCTGGGCTCGCTTCGGCGAGAGGCTCCGGACCGCGAAGCCAGCACGTGGGCCGGCCGGCTGCGGCTGTCACCTCCGGGCTGCAGTTGGCGGGCGGGATCCGGGGCGACAGCCGACCCACAGAGAAGGACTGGGGCTCGGGCCCATGTCTCCGCCTCCTCCCCACATGGCCGGGAGGACTCGAGCCCGGGCACCGCCCGGGCCTGCGGGCCATGGGTCCCACGCCAACATCCGCCCGGCGGCGCCTCGGCTCCCTCCGCTGCCGCCGCCCGCCTGCCTGCGTTGCCCCGCTCCCGGGCCGCACCTACCTTGACGTCCTCGTCCTCATCCTCGCCTTCCCAGCGGTCCCCACCGGCAGTGCCGCCGCCCGCCACCTTCCGCACCGGGTCCTCCACAGAGAACGTGTCCGCGTCTACGGAAGAGAGCGAGACGCGTTAGTCCGCTCACGGGACTGCGGCTGGCACCGGCCACCCCGGCCGCAACTTCTGCTCACCCCAGGAGTCCGAGTCCCCCGCCGCAGCCGCCGCCGCCGCCGCCGCCGCCATCTCGAGCCGGGCTTGAGCGTATGAAGGAAGAGCTGCGAAGACTTAGCGCGGCAGAGGTGAGTCACCGGGCAGGCTCTCGTTGGCTCGCGCGGGGCAGGCTGGGACCGTGGCTGACTGGGCGCCTGACCGAGGC